TTCAGTTTCAGTTTGTTTTTCCTTTCGTTTCTAGTTTTCTTCATTAACACCTTATTCAACACCTCGACCAGTAGTGAAAGTATACCGTTTCTTTTTGTTGATACTATTTTCGTATTCCGTTTTTCATTTTGCCTTTTTCCGTTGTCAAATTTGCGTTCCTTTAAAGTTTATTCCTTACTATTGCAGTCGTATTCATCTCATATCTTTCTGTTATGTGCTCGCGATCCATACAAAACGCTTTTGGTTTGTTTGTTTTTTTTGCGGCTCATCTAATTTCTGACGTTGATCGGTCGTCTTTTTTTTGTTTTTTGAATCCTTTTGGCTTGCTTCCGCTCTTCCTCTCGCAAAGCTTTTACAACAACTGTACAAAATTTTCAGTCGTTTTTTATTTGGAATTAATGGTTGTTGGCGAAATGTTTGTGTTTGCTTGCTGTTCAGTTGATGATCTTTTATCATCCAGCGCATGTGATGATAAAATTTGCTTTCATTTTAATTATGCGTTGAAGCTTTATCAACTCCAATCTAGTTGAAGATGAAATATTGTCGAATGAAGAAGTTCAGTTGACTATCGATTGATCAGTATTTTATGTGAGTGATATCATAGAAATGGTTACGATAAAATTGTTTGATATTTATTATCATTTCGGGACAAAATGTGCAACATATTAGCTACGTTTCAATTCCGTTTTCTTTTTCCAAAATACACCATAATTGAATGTGTTCAAACACAAAACTGTTAAAATAGCTGTTGTGTATGTGTATTTTACTTTAACGACCGACCCATTTTTCCTTTAAAAACGAGTCTCTATGCCCACTTTTCTCTTTTGACATATATTCAATAACGGCAACGTTCAGTGCCAAGGTGATACAGAATAATACTGCTTTGTTTAGCCGTTTGATCGCGTCGAATATGTTCTTTGATATTTTTGTTTTGAAAGTTTTTCTGTAATGGATGAGTATTCATTCATCCATATTTCATTATAATTCTCGAGTAATTTCTATCACTTCATATGTATAACGGTTACGTATGCATCATCCACTTTCATTCAGCAAGTTACGTTTTAATAGCGTTGTTTGTTTTAAATTATTGCAATAAATTTATCATATATATATACACACACACCAATCCGCGTATGGCTTTTATTTTTTCTTTCACGAACGCTTTTCAGTAAGGTAGAGTGCTGTGTTGAAGAAAGAATAAATGCATCTTGACGATTTACAATATTTCTTGGTGAGCTAATATCAGATTGTTGAAACAATTTTGTGTTGTGTTCTTAATGTGGTGTTTTGAAGATCAGTCAAGTTTACTATCATCGTCTGTATCGTCCACAGATATTGTTATTTTCATGAAATAAAATTTTTATTCATTGTTCTGCTAATATATGTTTGTTGATNTTTGTTGATGGATTCCCATTTGGTCCTAACGCCAAACGTTTATTGCTGATTGTTTTCATATGATACGCACAGCAGGCAGATAATACTGTTAATGCTATTGTGGTGTTAGTAATGGTGTTATTTTACAATAATCGTAGTGTATAATTTGTGTTTTTTGATGCAGTCAGTCATTCTTTAATGAGAATGCAAAAAAGGATTTACGAAGAAACCCGAATGCTCTACGATGAATTCATTTGATGTGCAGTACGCTAGTTACTGTTTGAAATTTTCTTTTTGCTTTCGATCATGTTTTCGGATTTTTTCGAAAATAAGTTGATTTGAAACGAAAAATAATTCAAAATTTTAATTGCAACGCGACATATCTGTCTTCTAATGTTAGCCATAATTTTGTTCGTTTGTTTGTTGATGAAGTGGAATGGTTGGAACATGAAGAGATGATGATCTTATTTTTTCTCCAGCAAGTTAGTTCTGAAGGTACAGAAAATACGAATAAGAATGTCACTTTTCAAACGTTCAACAAAGATGAAAAAACATTTACGACGCAAGCATGATAGCGATGAATCTGAGCAGGAGGACAACAGCGAAGGAACAGATTTTGCGTTAGCTTTTACCCAACTTACATTAATTCACTGTTGTTAGTGTTATACAGATTGGTTTTATGTTTCAATGAGATTGGTTCCGAAACGATTATAAAGAAAATGAATCACCTGGTCCACATGCTTGCGTTAATACCGTTTGCTGTTTTCCTGAACATATCGTCTCATTTGAATTGAGGCCGCTCTGAGAGCGTCGCAAAAAAAAAGAAAACCCAAGCGTTTGAATTCCAGGAAACTTGAGATTTACATTGCTGTGTAACTTATGACAATTTGATTCAGTTATGCAATGTGTTGGATTGATAAGCATCAAAAGGTTAATTGCAGTCGTAAATTGGAAGATATAAGGGAACTGCAAAAGAGTCGTTTGCGTCAAAATGGACTGAATGCAGTGGAATGTGCGTTAGGTAAAGAGTTGGCGGCTGAGTTTGTGGCGATGGACGATGATCCGTTCAGGCAGCGTGGTGGTGGAATGCTTCGCTTATCGGAAGGACGGCAGGCACAGCTGTTAGTTGTTTAGATTCCATCGAACTTTCGTCAATGAAAGTCAATAATTCAACTGAATACCCATTACAATTTCTCCTCAAAAAAATTTTTTTCGTTATCACAGTGCGTTGATTTTATATACTATTATATCGCCGGTTTCTCTTCCTTGTCTGAACCAACCCTGCTAGGCATCATTTCTATAGGACGTTTCTGTTTGACTATTGATAGTCTTGCTTTTCTTTTCGGATCAGCTGAGTAGAGTGTGTTGAATTTATTCAGCAACTGACTGTCGTCATTTTATGCATTGGGCTGCTTGTTGTTGAGCCGTGCTTTCGAAATTAATGCTGTAGTCATATTTTCTAAGTTTTTTCCTTCTGATGAAAATTGTTGGAGGAATGGACTACATTTTCTCTGTCGGAAAAAAATTGATTGTGAAACTTATCCAGTGTTTTTCTTTTTTTTTAGGCATGCTGCTAATATTGAGGCAGGTATTCGTGATCAGTTCAAGAAGGAATCATTTTTGCGTGACGAGCATGAAGAAATGTTTGTTTGTGAAGCGATTCTTCTGTTATTTTTTGATTGTTTTCTGCACTTTGGAGTTTTTTGGCTATTCAATGCTAAAAATCAAAACTGCAAATGATCATTTTAATTGGTTTTCATATCTCATTACGTTATGCAGAATTTTCATTTGATTGTATTTTTTTTATGAATTGTAAAGTTGTTAAATATTTTGTATTTTTGAGTTTTGACTGTTTAAATGTTTAGGATGAAATATGTACAAGCGGAACTCCGAAAGCGTAAAGCTGATTGTGAACCGGATGATGTGGAAGCAAAATCGGTTATTTTTTGGAATTGTTTTTGGGAGATATGATCTCATTAAGAAATGAGGAATTTTCAGTAATTAATTCGACGATTCGGAAGCATTTTTTTGGTGTTGTTAGTTGTTGTCATGAATACAAATTCAAATTCGATTATTTCTCATTCGGTTGCGTAGAGTAACTTCGAGCGCTTTTTAAGGCAAAGGTGGCAAGTGTAGAAGATAATTTGATGTGGAAAGCGGCCGAAAAAGTTCGATTGTTCAAGAGTATGCGAAACGACGAACTCCTTTCGAATCAGATGCTCGCTGGCATTCCTGAAGTCGACCTTGGCATCAAGTTCGTTCTTTGTTTCTTCAGTTCACTACCACTTTTTTATCGTCTGTTATGGTTTTCCAAAATTTCATAATTTGCTTTTGTCCCGTACACGTTCTTGATTTCCTATTCGTGAGGGACAGATTGCTTCAACATTTGATTGTAGTTCGTGCTTGATGAAAACAAGTTCGATATTAATGAGCTGTTTGTTTTAAGCTTGGCTTTCTCTACGCAAAAAATGTTCAGTGTTAGTTACACTGTTAATTGTGATGATGATCGCAATAACGTTAAGTGCGCATTCTTTTAAAAGTTTTGCAATGAGGTGTCAGTTAGTACAATGTTTTCAGTGCTCGTATGAGTAATATAATCGAAACCGAGAAGAAGAAAAGTGAAATGCTAAAAGATGTTATCGAAAATGGCCGAAGTTTAACTGAAGAAACACTTTTCCAACAGGAACGTGCAAAGGATCTCTCCAAAGATTACGTACAACACTCGATATGTGAGTAGATTGTTTTTTTTAAATCTTACTTTTTTAATTCAATGCAGTCGATTTTTCGTAGTGTACGGATCAAATAAACACCTTATGGAGCAAATATCATTACTTGTTAATACATGTACCAATATCTTACATCTGGTTTAAGTAGCATTTCTGATGACGCAAAAGTGGGTTTGAAAGCCACAGTGTCATTGAATTATCCGCAGACAGTATCTCCTTGCATCACTTCCTATATTTTGGGGGCATTAGCGAAGACATGTGGCATACCGTTGCTAGCTCTAAACGGGATAAACACTTTTTAGTTTACATGGAGTCAACAACTCGCCTTGGTCAAGAGGATTGGCGCAAAAAGTTGGATCGACCTGATACTGAAGTAGGTTCATATCATTTCTTCGCAGCATAGATACATACTTCGTTTTTGTCCTATTAGTTTTTGGCTTGTTTTGTCCAGTTTCCGTTATTTTAGAGCATGTTTCATTCATTTATAAGTTGAGAATTGTTTGATCGTTGTTGAGCTTATGTTTTATTGTTTTGCTACAAACAATACCGAGTAAATACAGTGATATTTGGTTGTTGTTGATTGTGTGTAGTAATTTTAGGCTCGTGTTACACTAACAGATGCAGATCCATCGAATGGGAACGCTTCAATACATCATCTTTGATGTCAACATCAGTAAACAACTACAATTCAATAATGATCCTCATCAAATGTGACCACTATACATATATGTATATTGTTTTTGATTTACTGAATAATGATGAGCATAAAGTTTTGCATGATAATGATTTGTTGTTTTGTTTTTACTCGACAGCATGATGCAAACATTGTTTTTCGGAGTTACCAATGACAGACAGTATCATTTGAAGTATCCAGCGATCCAGCAGGATCGATAGATGCAACGAAACAGTTCCTTTGTGAGCTTTTCAGTGTAGTTTTCATGAGTTCTAAGCTATGAATTGTAATTGACTATATCATGGCATTTCACTGGTGTATTGAATTGCAAATCTCGTTGTTAGTAAACTTCATTTGTGGGTTGAGTGCTTTGAAGTGAGCGTTTCGAGTTGTATGGATCTTCTGAAAAAATGCACAAAAAGCAAGCTCGAGTAGTTAGTTGCATTACGGCAGTTTTTGAACAACAATACCTTGTGCGCGCGTGTGTAATTAATATGTTCTAATCGTTTGAGTGTTCCAATCATGTGCTAAACTTAGATGATTATGCTGGTTGAAGAAGAAGAGGCAATAAATTTGAGTGTTGTTTGAATTTTTCATGAGCACCTTTCAAAATTTCATTGTAAGAGTTCACTTTTGTTGAAAATATAAGAAGTACTTTAATGAAGTGAGGAGCGGACGGTTGCACAGTGAAAAGTGAAAGAGTGAGTCAATCAGTTTGAGAGTACAAACATAAATATCAAGGCAAAGGCGTTAATAAGTCATCAAATGTGAGGTGGAATACAGTCATGTGAATAATGTGATGTGAATTGTAAAGTTGCAACGTACGTTGTGTTTGATGGCGCTGGGAAGGTGACGAAACAATGTGCGTTTGGTTTGACGAAGGTTGCTGACGGTCTTATCTTGAATGGTTAACGTATTATCTTCCATTTAAAATATAGCACAACACTTCATTACAACGGTCATTCACATCTGAGCACCTAAAACGCTCATTTCACTAGTTGTCAACATCTAGAGTCATTTGCTTGCATATTGATCGTCGTATTTTCAAATGGTTCGTTTGTTTGCTTCTTCATTTTATTGCCTATTATTATATTATGTAATTGCTTCGAGAACAAGTTGTCGTCTGAGGTGATAGGAGACTTTTTCAGGGTAATCGGTCGTCAGTTAGTTGAGCAAAAGCAACAGAAATGCACTAGTGATTACTATCAGGCAATACAGTTTATCCTCTCACATCCATAAGTTTTGCTTTTGTGATCCGTTCGGATAACGGAAAGCGTTTGTCAAGTTAGATTTCGTGAATATCAACTCGGCGCAGCACATTGCTCAGGTTGCTGGACAAAGACACGACTCACACGTAACCAACCAACTAAACGCTTTCCCTGGCCCAACAACCAAATGGAAGGAAGCGTTTCTTAAGAAAAGCGATCTTCAGTCTTCCTTTGCTATCGCACGTTTTCTTGCAGCAATTTCTCTCTAGAAACTAGAACGCTAACGATAAGTAAAACGATTGCAATAAATTCACGCGATAGATACATCTTCACTGTGCTCGACGAACTCCGTATGAGTTCTGTTGTTTCATTCTATTCCTGTGATTCTAGTTCGGCATCATTGTTTAGCTTCAGTGCATTAAGAATTCACTGCTTATTCAGATGATTGTGGCCGCATCGAGACAGTCAATCCACTCTTTCACGTTACTTTCATTCTTCATTTGCAGCATTTCTCGTTTGAAACCGTTTCTTGAGAATTGCCATACATCGCTTCCAATCGAATGATAAGCACATAGAATCCCAAATTATTTTGCTTTCTTAATAAACATCATTCGATCGTTCGGATGTGAGAGGATATACAGTATTAGCACTTATTGAGTCTTCAATTTGTTTTCATGAAGCAAAATCCACATATTAGTCTGCTCATATATTTTTATGGCTATTAGCTGTATTTTACATGCACACATACATACAAACGATTCATATTGATGTCAGTGCGGTCAAGACAATCAAACGATATTTGTACTGAATCGATTACGCTATTCTTTCTCAAGCTTTTAGTTGTCTGAGTTGGCGAGTTCAGCTCAGCTTTTCTATTTCTGTATTTGACGAAAATTTTTGAAACGTTTGATTGATATGCATCAATCCAGCAATTGAAGTGTTTTTCACACCTACTGTTAATGAATAATCAATCTCATCAATTGTGCAAAATTTTGTTTCAGACGCAGCATTTCACCCAGCGAGAAATTGATGNTTCTCGACTATTCTGTAATCAACGTGCGATGTTTTAGTTGGTTATTTGTGATGACTGAAGACTACTGATAAATCCAACTCAGTCACATGAAAAGCACTCCAAAATTCACTCGTAATTGAGTGTGTAACAAATGCCCAGTGAATTTATCTGTGTACCTGCATGAATGCTAAACCATTTCTCAGTATATTCACTTTAATTTGAGAACATTATGCGGATATGAAGATATTGGCTTTACTTGAAGAAAAGATCTGAGATTGTTGGTAATCTAATTCAGTGGTTCTCATGCTCTTAACCCTAATTGACCGTATGAGAATCCAGCATTTCCCTTTCCTCCAACAATCCACGTGGCTGAAAGTATCTCCTTGCAATGCTCATCTGATAATGTGTTAGTTCATAACGATAAATCAGAAGAAAGTGAGAAAATTGATGCATTGATCAAGAGATTAATTGTAGAAGAGTTATGGAAGAAAAATCAGCCAACAGTGATTTAGCAAACTTGCAAACTCCTCTCAAATTGCCACCCTTTTGCTGACGAGAAGCAATATTCTAGTCTGTATTCGTAATTTAGTTGTTGTTTATAACTTCATTGCAGAGTACCGTCAATGCTTTTATTTGTATTGTCAGAAAGGTGTCGTCGAGAACGCATCTCAGTTACGCTATATAATGAGGAGCCTCGGCTACAGTCCCACCGTTCCTGAAACGATGAATTATTTCCAAGAACATGGTGATAACTGCTCTTTTGATCCAACAGCATTTATATTGTCTTTGAAAATTGGCTTGTTGATATCTAAATGGAATTTTCTTTTCTTTACTTTTCTTTTCTTAAAATTCAACTTTCCAATCGGTCATTAATGGGGTTATTGCAGATAAACGAGTCGATTTCGCGGCGTTCCTCGAAATTCTCCATGCAGATGGTGCCAAAGGTGATCCAATGGTTGAAATAACTCGCGCTCTCAAAAATATCGATCATAAAAATCAGGGCTGGATAACTGTACCCGAGCTTTCCAGTATATTGTCATCAGTTGGCGAGAAGATGTCTCGAGAAGAAATCCAACGACTTCTGCGTCAACTGGATTTGAAAGACAGCAATAAAGTGCCATATGCAAAACTAATCAGGCTCATCTCCGCAACACCAATGCCATATCATCAAAAGTTGAAGAAATAAATTTATGGATCAACCATACGATATACATGTACAAGCAACAACAACAATAAAATTATTCTATGAAATTCAGTCTATACACACATTGTAATCCCATTTAATGTCGAACAATTTTTGAGGAGAATAACAACTTCAGTTGTTAGCAATAAATTCGTAAACGTTCAGCAGTCGGTAATTCTTTCCTCTTGATGCTTCAAAGGAAACAATTTCAACGAGTCAGTGAGATATTGTGTGTTCTGAAATGAACTTATACCGATTAAACTTACCTTGTAAGTTATGTCGCAAGTGCAAGCTTGATTCCTTGGTACCGACATGCTAACAAAATTTCGCACGTTAAGTGAATATCTTCAATAAAATTTGCGTCGTGAAAGGAAGAGGTTCAGTAGAACTCAAGAGTAGATATCCCTCAAAGTTTGTCTTAATCGTGCAATGAACAGTAATTTGATTACGCTGATCTAGTGATTCAACCTCATGGAGTTTCTACTTTAATGCTTTCATTACGATGCATTAATTCCATTTGTACACTTCAAGTGCTTTATTTATATTCTTTTCGTTTTTATTGCACTCTTTTCCATCTTCGAACCTATAACTGCTTATCAGTATGACGTGCGCTC